AATAAATGTTTATTCAGGTAAGGTACATACATACAAGAGATTTTACAAAAAATTATAGATTTATAGATAGAGCTAGTACATACAATGCCTAAAGCCACTATTACGCAAAGCGTTTCGGGCAAAAACGATACATGGTTAGTTGATACATGACAATGTACGGTGTTCAGGGGTAAGGTCACAAGGTGAAGGGGGTCAGGAAGTGGCTACTTGAGTTGTCTCATAACACATTACTTTTTCTCAGTCCCGTGTGTAACTTTATTAGAGAAGTTGAGTCACCAGTGTCTACATTTTATTGTGTATTCGTGACTATTTATTTCCGGAGTGTTTCCAAATGTTGCTCTGTGATTTGCAGAGGGTTCACTAGACAGGATTTGGTTGAATGCCAAGACATTGCTAGAGTTCAAAATTCAGCTGGAAAAATTGGGGGACCTTGACAAACCGCCGGGTTCTTGTCCCTGTTGAGGCCACTAGAGAGATGGTGGCCCCCAGATAATTTCAGGTACAGTAAATTATCATTTACGCCATGAGCCAGTTAAGCTACTATGAGTCCTGATAGCTTAACTGGACTCATGGTTCTCGACTCCCAGTTCGAGAACTGGTTCGAGAACTACAGTTCATTCTCGACTCCCAATCGAGAATTCCAGGTTCGAGTCTCAGGCGGGACAGAAAAGTTTTGGCGCGTATCCTATCACCTAATGCACCTGTTCGGCTATTGTAAATAGGCACCCAGGAGTAAGTTTGTTATGGGGTTACATCCCGGAGAGGGGCAATAGGTCTACCTTATGGGGCATCTCGATATAAGCCTAACATGCACACACGCACACATTCAGGTTCTCGCCTTGGAGCCTAAAATAGGTTGTTGAAATGCAGTGCAAGTTAGTCTCGGTGATCTCCAGTGCAAGGAGTCACGTCATGCCAGTGTCCTTATCAAGTATACTGTATAAAGTACTGAAGAAAATAATGACAAAGATGGCGGAACATAAACTCAGGGAAGTTGTGCTGCTGCTGCTAGGCTTTTACAATAGTTTAGTTCGTTTATTATGTACCCCATACCCATCTTGTGGGCGGTAGTGGAAAGGGTTACAGAGGCACATAATGGGCTCAGGGACTGAACCCCACAATTCATGCAGCTAAGCAAGTTACAATCTTGATGAGCTAGTTAAAAAATTCAATGAACATCATCACATCAACAATGGATTCGAGATCGACCACAAGTACAGTTTCTAAATTAAGCAACTGACATATGTGGAGAGCTAGTGTCACAATTGATATGTTTGTCCTACACACCGCCCCCCATCCAGTGGGCGGCGGTGGATAGGTTACAATCACTTAGTTACTACCTACAGTTAGCAAACTGGGGATATTTGGCTAAAATTCTTGGTAGCAGATCATATTTAATGAAATATTTACACATCTCTGGAACATTTGTTATAGATAGAATGACTGAACAAAGAAAAGGCGAAAAGCAAGCCACCTGCATTTACATAGATTGTCAAAGATTTGACTCTGCCCTATATAAGACGCCTGTAACAACTGGAAGGTTACGGGCTCACCATAGCCCGTGCTACATGGACACTTCGTCCTGAGTAGCTAAATCTTTAACAACAACAACAACAACTGGAAGGTCCAGGCACCACTCCTGTGCCAGGTAAATCCACTACGGACTCACCATAGCCCGTGCTACTTGCCCCGCTCCTGTGCCAGATAAGTTACGGGCTCACCATAGCCCGTGCTACTTGGAACTTGTTCCGAGTAGCTGAATCTATAACAACAACAACAACAACAACAACTGAAAGGTCGCATGCTACTAAGCTTGGTATTATAATAATAATAATAATATTTTTTCAGGTAAGAGTAAATAGATACTAAATGAGTTACGAAACAGAATGTTGGATTTGTAGATAGAGCTAGTATATACTATGCCTAAACCCACACTAACACTCAGTTACAGCCCCGCTCCTGCGCCAGGTAAGTCTACTACGGGCTCACCATAGCCCGTGCTACTTTGGAACTTTTGTTCTAAGTACCTGAATCTAAAACAACAACAACACTAACACTCGTACCGTTTCGGGGAGGAAACGGTGGGCAAACTACTGCACCTAACAAACAGGAAACTCGTGTTCGGATAAATGGATTTCAACGGTGCATGAGGATGCAGGCCATCCTTCTGTTAAGGTAGTTCTTATAGTAACAATGACGACCATCGTACATATATTGACACAAAAGGAAGTTAGAAAGTAGAAATTGTTACTATTGAATTTGAACAAACCGGAAAAGGTTTTTACACCAATGTTTCAAATAAAACCTAACCTAACCTTCCTCGGTATTTGAGGTCTAATGTAGTACATATATGTGCTGAAGTAGGCCTAGGAATATTTAAATTCGGTTTTTAGCTTTATTTTTAGGGGACTCTATACAGTGAATAGTACCAAATTCTACTATCTAATTGTTCATTAGATAGTGGATTGTCCATTAGTATGTACGATGGTCCACATACTTACAAAAAGTACTATCTAAATAGGAGGATGGGAACAAGATTAAGGAGACCAGAGGAACAAACAATAATGCACGGGAGACATCTCCCGTCACGCAGGGTGCAGTCGCACCTCCACAGATCTCCAGTATCATCTCTTGATACTGGTAATGGCTCAAAAGGGCCACCACTTACGGGCTATTCATGCCCGTGCCACCTTTTGGGTGGCTTCATCAATCATCAATCAAATCATAACGAGAGAGAGGATCTTCAAGTGTCAGCAGGAGAAAATGATCTCCGGAGGCAGCACTCATGAATATAACCAAAGCAGCATATGCTTAGCTGGTGAACATCAAGACAGTCATCACGCACCTACACAAGAATGCTTTCACAACACAATATACATCATACACCCGGCTAGAGGTAGTGTATGCTGGTAGTGTGTACATCATAACATCTGCAGATGACACTAATATTTATGGTAAAGTGGGAAGAGAATGATATTGAAACCTTATAAAGAGATCTACATGAACCCCACAAATGGTCAGAAGACTGGCAAATGCTTTTTTATATAAAAAATGCAATACCTTGCATGTGGGGCATAACATTCCACGTCACAACTACCAACTTAACAACATTACCTTGCCTTTGAGTCTTTTAAATTGTCAATGCTCTTAATGATTAAGTCGCACGTGATGTTAATTCGTTCTCTTCCGCAGAACATTCTATTATGTAGGACTGTCAAAAGCCTTTTTTTAAGGTCCATATAAATGCAGTCAACTCAACCATCTCTTGCCTATAAAATCTCTGTAAAAAAAAAATTATTAACACGTTTAGGTATACACATCAATGTGCTGCTGCACTATTCTGTATGAGAGATTACACAGTGTAAATCAAAAAGTAGCTATAATAATAATATAACAATAAGTTCATCTAATATTTCCATCTCACAGGATGGTTAGTCATACAAGGAATTCAGAGAACATGAAATGCGAGGCTGATCTATTAGCCTCCACTAGCAACATATGGGTAGATCACAAGAATATATTTATTTATTTATTTATTTATTTATTTATTTATTTATTTATTTATATACAAGAAGGTACATTGGGTTTGTGAGAATACATAGCATAGTATTTACATTCTTGTAAATTCAATTCAATTTCTTTCTTTATTATGCACCCCATACCCATCCCGTGGGTGGTGGTGTAAAGGATTACAGAGGCATATAATCGGTTCAGGAACTGAACCCTCTAGTTCGTTTAGCTAAGCAAATAGCAATCTTTTGACGCTAGTTACAAAACTATTGATGTTATATATACATATACACATATTCATGCATACACGGGAGACATCTCCCGTCACGCAGGGTGCAATCGCACCTCCACAGAGATCCAGTATCAGCTCTTGATACAGGTAATGGCTCAAAAGGGCCACCACTTACAGGCTATTCATGCCCGTGCCACCTTTTGGGTGGCTTAATCTTCATCAATCAATCAATCAATCAATCTCATGCATACATGTACATATACATACGTATACATATATACATACACATACATATTTAGCCACCCCACACAAATACTCACATCGGTAGGTCCTTAATCTTAACAGATAATTTTAAATAGGTAATTTCTTGCAAATTTGAGATTATGTCTTCTGCTAATAATTCCAATAATTATAATTATAATAATTAAAAATGAAGATTATGTCTTCTTCTAATAATTCCGATAATTATAATTATATAAATTCTTCTAATAAATATCTTCTAATAAATATCTTCTAAATAATTCTTCTAATAAATATCTTCTAAATAATTCTTCTAATAAATATCTTCTAAATAATTCTTCTAATAAATAATCTTCTAATATTCCTGAGTGTACAAAGTAGTTACAGAGCTGGAAGTACCTCATGCCATGTGGTCTGAAAGCACTGATAACGGGGCAATCATAGATATGATGTTGGATAGTATATCCAAGCTCTTGTTCACATAACAATTAGAATGTTCATCATCTGTGGGTGTAAGAGATGTGTCCCATTTCCCTATCATACCTAGTTTTGTATGTGTGTTCCCCAAGTGTGTGTGTGTGTGTGTGTGTGTGTGTGTGTGTGTGTGTGTGTGTGTGTGTGTGTGTGTGTGTGTGTGTGTGTGTGTGTGTGTGTGTGTGTGTGTGTGTGTGTGTGTGTGTGTGTGTGTGTGTGTGTGTGTGTGTGTGTGTGTGTGTGTGTGTGTGTGTGTGTGTGTGTGTGTGTGTGTGTGTGTGTGTGTGTGTGTGTGTGTGTGTGTGTGTGTGTGTGTGTGTGTGTGTGTGTGTGTGTGTGTGTGTGTGTGTGTGTGTGTGTGTGTGTGTGTGTGTGTGTGTGTGTGTGTGTGTGTGTGTGTGTGTGTGTGTGTGTGTGTGTGTGTGTGTGTGTGTGTGTGTGTGTGTGTGTGTGTGTGTGTGTGTGTGTGTGTGTTTTTGTGTGCGTGTGCGCACGCATGCTTATAACTGGAGGCGACCGCCATTTTTAAATTCCCAGACGTAAACATTACTGTAAAGCAGGAAGGTGGACGTGTGTCTCCGCTCCGCCTGGGAGTTCCTGGGACACCTGTTGAGATTTGCTCCCGGTGCTCCGTATGATTCCCGCGACACTTATTTTGTTTATAATAATAATTCATTTAGATAACAGTACATACGTATATAGAATACAAGAACACGGGGACACTGAGGAGTCTCAGTGGTAAAGCACTCGCCCTTTGGCTTGGGTTCGTATCCAGGCCAGGGAGGATTGACTGGGCGCCAATCCTTCACTGTAGCCTCTGTTCACCCAGCAGTGAATGGGTACCTGGTTGTTAAAACAATTTGGCGGGTCGTATTCCAGGGGAAACATTAGGATTAATGACCTGTCTGAAACGCTATGCATGTTAGTGGCTTTAAAAGAATGTAAAACCTTGTGTATATGTTCTGAACCTTAATGGAATCTGACCCATATATCAATCAGGGTCAGACAATTAATAAAGACAATTAATTGTCTTTAATATGTTGCACAGAAGTCAATGATGTTACAACAATATATTAATACACATTAATTAAAAATGGCATTAATGCAGATTTTGTATTAATGCAAAAATATAATTAATTCAAGTTTTGTTGTCTGTGTGTCCAGGCAGACACTTCTATATTGATTTTCTGTGTCTCAATTAACTGAATTAGTTTTTTTCACAGATGAATAATTTGTTACTTTTTTGCAGTTTAAAATGCTGGGTACCCAGACAATGATTGTTCTGGAAGCCAATAGAAGAGGTGAACAACATCCGTATCACATAAAGTATTGACTTATGTGAGCTGGCAAAAGATGTACTTCTGTTTATTGTTAGATGTAGGTGGGAAAATGCATTGTTTGTTACATTACAGTACAGTATTTTGTACAATTTTGTTGCTATAAATTCTCTTTATCACATAAAGAACACCAGACATTATATCTTATTCATTAAGTAGCTTTCTGTTTTGTACTATGTATATATAATACCATATTTTTTCCAGTCAGCCAGGTAGAGCTAGAATTTTTATTTACAGATATAAAATATGAGAAGATAGCTGTTAGAGCATTCAAATACTGAATTGCAAATTTACAAAGTTAACAAATGAACAAATCCACAAGGGCTGTGACGAGGATTTGAACCTACGTCCGATATCATCCCAGACGCTGCCTTAATTGACTGAGCTACAACATGGTCAAAAGAGTTGAAATCAGAAGTTGTACCTAACTTACTTGGATCCTGCAGCCTCTACGAGAGAGAAACCATGGTTTTACACAACTCCCCCAATGCACTCGAGCTATGTCAAAGACGAAGTTAACATTTTCGCTGGCGCGGCGGGGCACCCAAATCGCACCGGAAAGTAGGCTGCGGATTCCTGGTGAGCACACAACCCAATGTTAAATTCATTCACACACCATGTTTATACTTAATAATAAGCCATTGCAAAAAAGTTGCATGACACTGTTTGCTTCATCCCACATACTCCATACAGTACAGTATAGTATTTTGGTTTTATGATGGAATATGCAGCAGTAGACAGTGAAAGTGTTAAGAAACTAGTGTAATCTCAAAAAAATTCTTAGGTGTCAAACAGTTGTAAGCATAGGGCAATTGGACAATATCAGTATTATGGCCCATAGTAAGATTTCAAGAACTAGACCATAATATACTGAATTTACCTAAAGGTCACTTAACACACTAGTGGTTTTGACAATTTAAAGATTTGACAACCTGATATCATACCCATAGGATACTTAAATTAGGCACCAAGACAAGGATTTTGTCACATGATTGTACAGTATTAGTATCATAACAATTAAGGTTGCTACTGGCAAAGCTAATACACTTAATGGGGGGGGGTCTCTATTTCTCCTTCATAAGATCTTGAGCACCACTGTGTAGTTGAATTAAAGGATGAGGCATACCTTCATATTTCAAGGTATTTTTCTGGGCTTTTCCCTCAGTTGCTTCCCTGAGCTTATGCACTGGGCATTGAAGGTCATATGAATAAACACAGGCAGACTCATTGCCTTTCAAGGACATGGACATGTGCAGTCTGCAATTGCTGTACTGTATACTGAGGTAAATTACCCTAACTGCAATTAAAGGAGACTATAAGACACCCAAACTCCCTACAAAAACTATTTTGTTAACAGTGCGGAGCTATCAAAATACAACAAAAATTACTAAACAAGCAGCCCCAATAATTCGCCCCATCCACCACCAGATGACACACAGTTAGCTACTAGTCCAGACGACAATAATTCGGCATCCAGCGCGTTTGGAAAAAAGATAAGTGTTCGGAATTTCATTGAACCTCGGTCCTGCACAAGGGTTACATGCTATTTATATTTTGCAAATGTGTATGTTGTTCACAATGCATGTCTCATTACCACTATCTGCCTCAGTTGTTAAGCAAGACAATCTTCTTTGATGCTGTCAGCAACTGCAGTTCTCTGCTAAAATTTGTTTTTCTTGAGAATTTAAGTTCCAACTGTTCAACTCCTTTTTCAGTCAACCTGAGATCATGTAGTGCTTTGGGACTTCTTATTAACACGACCTATATCTGAGGAATGATTGCAACTGTGGTTAATCTTAATTATGTTTTGCTTGCTTCAGTGTGTGCATAGGTTTGACACCTTGCACCATTGCCAGGTTAGTGCTGAGAGCAACAATGATTGACATTTTGTCTTGTCTATGCCTGCTCACATCCTTCCAAATCTGAGTGATGGAGCTGCATTGTTTTTGTCGACTTGTAGGATCTTTTGCCAGAACGTCTCGCCTCTTAGCTGTTCGGAGTGGTGTTCCAGGTACCCTGTGTCAAAATGGATATGTACCTCATATTTCTGCTGGGACACTTTGCTCATCATTTGTGTGCTCTTCTCTTTAACCTGAACTTTGCACCCACGGTCCTCACCAGACTAATGTTTGTAGCCTTTTAGAAGCTTCATCTCCAGGGGGGATCTGAGTGCTGGCCTTCCCGGATAACTGGTTGGTTTTGCCTCTCAGGCATGCTGATTTTCTGTTAGCTCTAGGGGTCACATTCTTCATGTTCCCGCTCCTTTTGGGTTTTTATTAAATGTTGAACAATTACTGTTTGCGCCAGCTCAATAACTTCAGTGATTGGGGCTAGTCTGGGATACTAGTCATCCTTGCTGCCCATGGGTGGCTGGTGATTGGCAGGTACCGACTTTCCCATTATGAATTTAAATGGTTCTTAGAACACCACAACTTTGCCTACCAGTACATGATCTACCCAGTGGGCTGGGTGTGGCTGAAGACCTATTTCTGCTTTTTGTGGTGGTCAGTGCTTCAGGACAATGTAATGTAGACTCTGAGAGGCCTGTGACATTATAATCTCTACACACATACACACACACGTATGACAATAGCATGATATATCAAATGAACATATGTCATGTTAATATATCACGCTAATGGGATATCTGTGTGTATTGAAGTAAGGGCATAGAGGTAGAATATCTGGTTGACAGAGCCCGAGTGCATGGGGGAATTGTGTAAAACTCCAATTGTGCTTCTGAGAAGCTTCGAAATCTTCGTGAGGGCAGTAGCACTCCAGGTTGCAATTCTTTTACCATGTCGTGGTACAGTTGACTAAGGCGCATCTGGGAACATCCCGTGCATAGGTTCAAACCCTCGTCATGGCCCTTGTGGATTTGTTTATTTGTTTAATCTCTACTTTCCTCTCTAAGTGTGTCTAAGTTCATTTCTGTAGCATCCATCAGCTCTTCCCCTCAAGTTATACACAGACAGCTCATACTGAATCCTGTCATGTCTTATCATTCAGCTTTGACATAGCATCTCCCATTAGCTTTTGGTATTGATCTTGCCTCAGCACCTTTTGTTTAGCTCAGTCAAGCTTTCTTACACTTGCAGCTGGCTCATGTCCCATTAAAGGCCAGCCTTATCCTTGGATAAAATTCTTGATATTCTGTCATCTCCTTTTCTGGAAGACACTGTTCCAGATGGCATTTCCCTAATTCTTACCTCTGAATATCATGTGGTTGAGTTGTTTGCTCAAAGTACAGTATTATGTTCCCTGTTCTTTTTTGCCCAGACGACTGGTTTCTTGGGTTGCAGATTTTCCACTCTTGGTTCAAGAATTAGTCGCGCATATTCTGTAATAAAAATAATAATAATAATAATAATAATAATAATAATAATAATAATGATAATAATTCATTGTGTCGGGACAGGCAGGCAGTGTGTAATCATACATGTTAGGCTTACATTGAGGTCGGTCGGTTCCCCTCCCCCCTAACCCCCAGTAGAATTACTGATCCTGCCCAGGATGCAACCCCACAACATGCTGACTAACTCCTGAGTACATACTTACTGCTAGGTAAACAGAGGCATTAGGCAATAGGAAATGCACCCAACCATTTCTTTCCTGTCCGGGATTCGAACCCGGAATTCTCGATTGTGAGTCAAGAACGAACTCGACTGGACTACCAGGACCCAAGCCTGTTCCAGGCTTGATTTGTGCATCCCAGTGTACACCATACTTTTAGTTCACACTGGGATGTGCAATAATCAAAGTTTTGCAAATAGGAACATTTATATTTTTGCCAATATTTTCCATACATTTTCTAAAACTGGTAGAATTTTATTTGTTATTCACTTATCAGGCAGCTATGGGAGGGAAAAAAAATTGTTCAGCCCCCATGTGCACTGATGTACTGAGGTACCATGTGCACTGCACTGATTATAGCAACCATTGTATAATGTGGTATTAGACAATGAATGTGTACATAGTTTTAGGGTTGCAAACGTTGTCCAAACAGTTGCTGGTTTTGGTGCACTGTTTTTTTCCTTCAATACTGTATCATTCTTGTATATCCAGACTCCCCTCTGCCTCTATTAAGGGGGACCCAAATTCTGGTTCTAGTCTCCGGTAGGCACTTGTGATCTGCTAAGAGCTTGGTGTGGCACCCAAGGTTTGGGAGGTTCCAGGTGGGTATCTCAGGGAGCCATGAAGAGACCTACCAGAAAGAGACATTTCATCACATTCAATGCTGAGGTTTCTCCCTGCATAGAAACCACATACAGATATTTCTTATTTCCCTATTTGGAAGTACAGTAATCTGTTCAAGAGTTGCAGCTGTTAGCAGGGACAACTTATGGTGATGGGGGGTATAGGGATAAAACAGGAGGTTCACGGCTTGGTTTAATCTGTTGGGTAAGCTGGTGCTTATCCAACAATGACTAAAGGGTAATGAGATCTAGAACTTATTTTACCTGCATCCTTCCCATTTTTCTTGGCTTGCTAATTATATTCATGAATGTTCAAGTTCCCGTCTGGAGGAATTACTGGTAAATACCTGAAACTAGCTCGCTGAAATAGCTTCCCACTATTGAGTCACATCTGTGACTCAGTTGTAGGAGTCTTGTTGGACTATCAGGGACCAGAGGCAGAACCTGGCCCCCTCCTCATAGAGGCACAGAGCTGGCAATTGTTACGATCACCCCACAATAAGAAAGCATAAAAAAAGTAAGTGAAGCAATGCCAATAACTGTGCAGCTCACAAAAATGAAGCACTGAAACAGTCAACAGACTTTGCAAATGATTCACACAAATCCTAATGGTTCACTTAAAGCATAACTCAAACCCCCCCTAGTGTGCAAAGCTACCAATAGTTAGCATACCTGGGGCTTCCAGCTTCAGCCTTACCCTTCACCCAGTCCTGTCACGGATATCAGACCTGTCTGACTTTTCTGAATCACCTCATCATAGTGAGTTACAATTACACACAGAGATCACACTAACATGATGCATCAAATGAACAAATCCACAAGGGCCATGACCAGGATTTGAACCTGCGTCTTAGAGCATCCCAGACACTGCCTTAATCGACTGAGCTACAACAGGGTAAAAGAGTTGAAACCGAAGTTCTACTGAACTTACTGGATCCTGTAGCCTCTCCGAGGCACAAACGGAGCAAACTCTGTGTGTAATGATGTAAGGGCGAAGAGGGAGAACGGCCTATTGACATAGCTCGGGTGCAGGGGGGAGTTGTGTAAAATCCTGGTTTGTGCCTCGGAGAGGCTACGGGATCCAGTAAGTTCAGTAGAACTTCAGTTTCAACTCCTTTACCCTGTCGTAGCTCAGTCGATTAAGGCAGTGTTTGGGATGCTCCTAGACGCAGGTTCGAATCCTTGTCACGGCCCTTGTGGATTTGTTCACGAGTTACAATTCTTTTCCAAAAGACAAGTATAGGCCATCCTTTGAACTCTGTCCCTTGGGTGCCATATGCTTATGTGTCATTCTTTGTCTTTAGTATTTGCTTCACAAATGTGTTTTACAAGCCACATTTCTTGAGTGGACATGACATAATCTGCACTTTAAGCTGCATGTGTTTAGGATAGTCCTTCTCAAAATGCTCATTTAGAGTTGCCCATGCACTAATAGTGTACATCTCATGTGCCAGGTGAATACGGCAGGCTCACCATAACCCGTGCTGCTTGCAACTTTTTGTTCCTGGTAGCTGATTCTAAAACAGCAGCAGCAGCACCTATAGTATCTTCCATGGTGGGTTCTGGAGGTGATCCTGCTGGCTCCTTGGTGACCGGCTCAGCCTTGCCTTCTAGCTCTTCTGACGTGGTGTCCGAAAGCAGGCATTTCTTAGTGTCTTCACTTATTTCGTCAAATCAACCCAGCGATGTACCTTGCTGGTTCGACCTTCTCCACTGAATTGCTAGTCTGGAGTTCTTGACATGGGTTTACTACTATTTATACTGTGCATACATGGCTGAATTGGTGTCCCACCTGCATATTTTGTCATGGTGACAGCATGGAGTTTTCTGTTGCTCCTTTCTCCTCTGTCTCTGTTGTCTTTCTTCAGTGTCTGTTCTGGTGTTTGTCTTTGTCTTAGTGGTTTGTTGATTAGCATCTCATGTTTAATACAGTCTCCTCCTATTTCTCAGCTTTGGCAGAACTGCCTTAATATCACTCGGTGTCAATACAGTACTCACTCGGCACTGTTTTGCAAATTGTCTCGAGCTTTATTTCACCCTCTAGCTGGCTTATACTCCTCCAGAGCCATCTTGGTCTCAATAGGATGCTGGTGTTTCTTTCCTTCCCTCAGTTTACAGTTGTCCCTTCAGTTCAGCATACCTTTAGGTGTAATGATATGCCTCGGTAGCTCCAGCTCGACACTGACTTGTAGCTGGGGTGGAAATCAGGAGCTCCTGAGATGCCACTTGTTAATAGCTTTGTGTATTAGGGAGTTTGAGCCATACTTTGAGTGAACTATTTGTGGAGTCTGTTAGCTGTTTCAATGCTTTCTTTTTGTGAACTATGCAGTTGTTTCCATTGCTTCACCTACTTGCTGGATATTTTCTCAGTGTGGGTAATCATAATAATTCCTAGATCTCTGTACCTCTGTGAGAGGGGGGGCCAGGTTCTGGCTCTGGTCCCCAGTAGACAACAGGACTAATATGATTATTGTGACTCAGTAGTGGGAAGCTATCTCAGCGAGTTAGTTTCAAGAAGCCATCAAGGCTCTACCAGAAAGAGGCATTTCATTACATTCAATGCTGATTTTTTCTTTAAGCTATGGATAAAAGGGGTTTCAGCAATGTATGCCTTCAATGCATTGTACAGAATACAAGAATTTCCTTGCATTAATAAGCACCTAGTTAAACAGAGTATGTCATCCCACAGCTGATGCCACTTGACTTATTATGTCATACATCATAACAATCAATTAGAAAATTAATTTTCTCTCTCCTATTACTACTTATAAATTATATAACTAAAAAATAACCAATTCTTTAAATAATTAATTGAATTAGCATCATTAATTTGAATTTATAAACATTTATAAACAGATAGCCTTAAATGTGCAATGAGTAAATAATATACGAGTTTTCTCCTTAACTCTGGAGGTGGAGGGAGGTTTTTACACCATTACACACCATTACACAGATCAAGGCTAACTAGAGAAAGCTGCCAAAGAAATATAAGAAAATTCACTTTCACAAACAGTGGTAAACGGCTGGAACAAGTTAGGTGAGGTGGTGGTGGAGGCCAAAACCATCAGTAGTTTCAGACAATTGTATGGCAAGGAGTGCTGGGAAGATGGGACACCATGAGCGTAGCTCTCATCCAGTAACTATACGTAGGTAGTTACACTTGTGTAATTACTAAATGGTGCCATTGTTTTTACGCAGCCTAAATATTGCTTTGCTGCTGTTCAAAACTTTGCAATTTCTAAATCAGGTCGTGTCTGCCTCACACTTCAATCAGAGAGAAGTGATAACCCATACCCTTAACTATTTATATATTGTGGGCATGATAGATATGTTGGTGGCATACACAAGGGGTTAGATGAGAAAGGTTACAAGGTATGACAATACCAATATATCATATAAGATCATACGATCATTATTCATACAATTATTTATGAGAGATAATTTGGTGAAATAAAATATAATTATAAATTCAATCTAATAGTGACTTTGCCAGCAGGAAGGTGCTGATCCAGCAAGTTCTCCCATCAAATGGACGCTGAGCAGCCATATTGTCGATCATATGTTGAGGACTTCATATTCTACCTGCCAGCTAAGCTCTTAAGTTATAAATAGTTTAGACAGTCCAGTGATCATATATAAATTAGACAAATTTAAATAGAAACAAACTGGTTTACCCAGGGAAATCAATTTAATATCTAAATCAAATCTGAGACTACGCTCAACAAGCTGGATGGTCTAAATATCAGTTACATTAGGCTAACTCAATTTAATTTGTATGGAAACTAAACAAAATATAATTCTTCATACAGTCCACCCTCTACCAATTAAAGAGACAATAATTATTTCTCCACAACTGATTCAATTTTCCTTTTGTGCTTCATGAGATGCAGGTTCGATGTTGGTGCTGCATTTTCGAGAATGTAGATTTTAAATCCTGTTTATTTTATTAAATACTGTTCCTATGTTTGTCAACATTAATTATGCTACTTACATTTACAATATCCTGTTCACATGAGCTTCTAGTAATATTATTGGGATTATATCCACTCCCATGTCTGTTTCTCTTGTATCTTGTACAGTGGAACCTCGGTTGACAAATGCCCATCTTTACGAATTTTTCGATTTACGAGCTAAATTTTTTCGTAAAATTCGACTCGGTATACGAGCTTTGCCTCGCTTGCTGAATTTTTTATACACGTATCTTATAGATTTTTATACACATATTTAGGGAGCCGGACGGCCGAGCGGACAGCACGCTGGACTTATGATCATGTGGTCCTGGGTTCGATCCCAGGCGCCGGCAAGAAACAATGGGCAGTTTCTTTCACCCTATGCCCCTGTTACCTAGCAGTAAAATAGGTACCTGGCTGTTAGTCAGCTGTCACGGGCTGCTTCCTGGGGGTGGAGGCCTGGTCGAGGACCGGGCCGCAGGGACACTAAAGCCCCGAAATTATCTCAAGATACTCAAGAAGAGTATGGGCTGACTGAGCGCATAGTGCACTTCAGTTTACCAGTGTCTCCCACCTAGTGATGACCACGCTTGAATTCTTTGTGAAGAATTTCATTGTCTTTTGTGCATTTTTGGTTTCTGAACATAAAAGTTCTTATATATTTCGCCATGGTCTCTGAGAGCATTTCAGAGACCATCATTTATGAAACAGCAAGGCTATTGCAGAAGATCTAATAAAGAAAACCCCTGGAACAAGTGATACAGATATGAAAGCATTTAAAGCAAGCAGGGGATGGATTGAGAAATTGAGAAATGTCTATAGACAGATTCTTAGTAAGACAAGCAAGCAGTGAGCCACTAAAAGGTCCTAATGGTATGCCTGCAAAACATAGGAGAGAGTACCTCTGAAATGTCATCAGTGTCTGATGTTATAATGGAATGGGACTCCCCCTTCCAAACACTAACACCTCTCCTCCTTCCCTAGAAACACAAACCGTAACTTTCTCTATTTTCTGCTTGTTACAACTTGTAATAAAGATGTTACATCTTGGCTTAACGTGTTTTTGACGTATTAGAACGTTGTTACAACTTGCTATATTGGTTGTTATAACTGGTTAGGTGGTGGTAAAACTTGTTCGAACGTTGTACCAATGTCATAGTTTCGGTGTGTGTTTGGCGGGTTCCCTTCTCACCATCTTCCATACACCAACATGTGTCCTCAATTAAGATAAGATATACTGTACTGTAGTACATAATATTAGTAGTATTATATATAAAATGTATTATGAAGTTAATATTTTGGGGAGTGTAGAACAGATTAATTAAATTTACATTATTTCTTGTGGGAAATTCGTTTTGGTTTACGAATTTACGGTTGACGAACCGTCTCTGGGAACGGATTAAATTCGTAAATGAAGGTAACACTGTAGTTGTCTTTTTCTTGTGCTGTAGTTACCTAAAGGTTTCCCATATCTTTTTTTCCCCATTGTCATTACCTTACATTTATTTGGATTGAATTCTATCAGATATTTATCTACTCAATCCTGGAGCTTGTCAAAGTCTTCTTGCAGTGCACTACTGTCCTCCTCAGTTCTTAGTCTCATCAACTTTGATGAGACTAAGTTCCTCAGCTGCAAACATTAAAATGTATGTGCTCACTCCATCTGATAGGTCATGTACATAAATAAGAAAGTGTAATAGTCTCAGGACAGGGCCACAGGAACCTCTCTTTCCACTCCTCTATAGTCTGTCATATCCCGACCTTGACCCTTTGTTTCCTGTCCATCAGGTACTCCCTTACCTAATTCAGTGTCCTTCCTGTTATCCCTGATTTTCTCTCCATCTTGAGTATTAATCTTTGTGAGGAACTGTATCAAAAGCTTTCTAATATTCTAGAAAGATGGAGCCTACCCATTCTTAATTCTCTGGCCTTATTTTGGCGACCTTGTAATAAAATTCAGACAAGTTTGTTAAGCATTATTTTATCTGAAATGGTTTAAAATTCTTTTCCTGAGGACGTTTTCCAGTAGTTTGAATCAGGTGCATGACACTGGTCTGTAGTGCTTCATGTTTGTTCCCTTAAATACTGGAACTACATTTCCCCTTTTCCTGATATCTAGAATATTCTCCAGTCTCTAGTAATATGCTGATCTATCCCTAGTGTTTTGCTGAAAGCTCTAATACAAAATCCCTGCATCATTCTTTAGTAAACACACTTACATCTAATCTGATCTTACTGCTTTTGCTACATCCAGCTCCTCCAAGTGTCTTTTTACCTCTTCTACAGTAACTTCAGTTCTGCCTAACGTTGCTTCTCACTGTCTGTTATCCTTGGACACTAATCTTGTTCTGGTTTGTAGAACTCCTGGAATGTCCTAAGTTCATCACACACTTCTTTGTCATTCTCCAAGTGTTTTTCTTCCTGTCTCGTAGTTCTGATGTACTTTACCTATGCCCCCCCCCAACCCTAATATCTCTGAACTTGGTCCTGATCTCCTGTAATATTGTGTCCTTATATTTATATTTTAAGTTTATTCTTATAGCTGTGCTTTACAATGTCTGTTCTTCAATAGAATATACATGTTTTTTATGCCAATTTTTATGAAAAGCAACTTTTTATATCACATTTATCAGAACTTTGTGTTTGTTTCCAGAAGCCAATGCTTGGCGTGATCACAAGATCCACAAAACAAGAAGCTTGCGCGCTCACCATGGGGGAAGGCGTATCTTCTCTGCCGCTCCACTCCGTCCGTCACTACTGCATTCTGTTGAGGGGATTGCATCTGGAGTAAGCTGTCGACCAAAGCATCTATGTTTTAGGGCGACCTGCACCATGATGCACAAGGTCAAGGTTTGCTTCCAGGAGAACCACTCCCTCACCATGGCAGAACTTTAGACAAAAATCTCAACCATCGCTAACATCTCATTGGTTGACATCCTGGAGACCAGAGAAGGGGCGAATCTGATCTTCTCCAGTGATTTGTACCACAAAACACTGTTCGCCACCACCACCAAGACCACCCTGCTTGATGCCGGCCTCACCCTCACACCTCCATGATGCTTCTTGGCAGACAGAACTGTGTTTTCACTTTTTAGACAAGCTCAGATGGTTTTTACTATGAGATCCTCCATCATCTGCTGTTTTGCAATATTTTCTATTACACTATATCTATAACCGTATTTTGGAGATGTCAGTCCCTGAAGACTGGCTCAAGGTGGTGGTTCTTCCCATTAGGAAAACCCAGTACTCAAGAAGCTTTCCCTTATAATTTTCCTCCCATTGCCCTGACAATTTGTTTCTGCAAAGTTTTTGAATATATGGTTAATGTATGTTTCGTGTGATTACTGAATTGCCATCACTATCCTTTCACCTCTCAATTTAGCTTTCTCAAGTGTTGCAACATGACTGATATCTTAGTGGACTTGGAGGTCAACTTTTGAGCTGACTTTGCTGTGAATTCCTCCATTGTTGCAGTTTTTTTGCCCTTGTAAATGCATATAACACCATCCCCCCCCTTCCCCCTCCCTTGATATAAAAAATTAACCCAACTACATTCTTTTGGCCTTTACAGCAGTCTCATTTTTACCTCAAAGCTTCCCCTCTCATCATTTATTTTAAGTGAGAGTTGATATTACTTTCCCACTCTTTTCAATAATATTAAGGTGTTCTCCAAGGTATTGAGTGTTTTGAGCACTTCTTTTCTTGGTTGCCCTAAATGGTCTCCCTTTCTCCCCTGGCATTTTCTCAGCTCTTTAGGTTGACAATCTCACTCTCTGCAATTGTAGTTACTACTTCTCTTACCTCCATTGCCAGCTCTAACTCCTGATCAATAATGAATTGTCTTGGGCCACCAATCGTAGATTCAAGTTCTCTACAACCAAGACGTGCAATGATTTTTATTTGAAGGCATATCATTCCTCGTCCCCCTTGTTATCACCGTTAAATCCCTGCTATTTTAGCATAAAGCCAAACTCTTGGTGTTAATCTTCAACACCCATCTATCTTGGTCATCCCCCATGTTGTTCACCGAGTTGAATGCTCTAAGGCCCTTACCTTACTTAAATTTTGTCCTGTACTTCCTGGGGAGCTGATAAATGTACACTTCTCTATTTGTACTTCTCTCTTGTACTGTCTGCACCTGATTGTGGCTGCCCCTCCCTCAACCTTTCATCTAGACACTCTGTACCATACTAGATTAGCCTTGGCCCTGATGCCTTTCTTTCATCCCCACCCAGAGCTTGTATGTTGAAACTGGCATCCTGTCTATAGGATCATTACTACCTTTACTACCTCACACAGTTCCTGCAATATCCCACTCTTTCTTGTGCCATGGGCACGCACTCTCTTAGGCGCCTGACAGCTGGGTGGACAGCGCTTCGGATTTGCAGTCCTGAGGTTCCGGGTTCCATCCCCGGTGGAGGCGGAGACAAATGGGCAAAATGTTTCTTTCACCCTGATGCCCCTGTTACCTAGCAGTAAATAGATACCTGGGGGTTAGAGAGCTGCTACGGGCTGCTTCCTAGGGGTGGAGGCCTGGTCGAGGACTGGGCCACGGGGACACTAAGCCCAGAAATCATCTCAAGATAACCTCAAAATATCATCTCAAGATAGCCATACTTTGCCATCGCCTTTCAGGAGGGACCTGTTCCCTCATTCTCTGTCCACGTTTGCAATGTCTTCCTTGTGTTGTTTCTACCTTGCCCAGGTTGCATATTGGCCATACACGCTTAGTTCACGGACACTTAATGAAGCGCTGCCCTGCTCCTTATTGTTGTAACTGCATTGTCCCTCTTACAGTAGTGCATATCTTTGTTGAATGTCCTGACTTCCAGGACGAGCATGTGTCTTCCTTTCCGACCGTCCCCCGCGGTCACTTGTCCCTCGATAGAATTCTTGGTGAATCAGATACTTTTGATATCGTTCGCCTTATGCATTTCTGTTCTCATATTGACATCCTCAGTAATATTTAGCGCCCTCTGATTATTCCGCACATTTAATAGTGCTACATAGCCTTCCTGGCTTGGTGCCTTCTTTGATAATTACTTACTTCCTTCTACCTTGCCCACATGGAGAGTACTGCTTGTGAAATTTTACTAGATGCTGGCCCACATGGTAAAGACATACCCCTCCTACTGTTCTGAAAATCCTTTAATTTTAACATTTTTCTTCTCGCGTTCCATATCTCTGTTTACAGATGGGTCGAAGTATGCTGACAGTGTTGGCTACACCACTGTAGCCAACACCATCTGCTACACCATTGTAGCATTGACTAATATATTGCTATTGTTGAAAAAAAAATATTTGAGATGTAAATAAAATTGACATTGACTTTTACGAAGCTGAGAAGATTACGTTATCCTCTTCTGCGCTTTTGTATTGTTTAGCTTAGCACAGTACTGTTCATGACAGTGTATACTATTCATAATACTGTACAAAGATTCTATCACTTTTAAAGTTAAGGTACACTCTTTTTAGACCTTCATTTCACATTACAGTGACCCTACTGCTAATTCATGTATGTACTCTATACATAAAGCACGGCACTTGAATAAAAAATGCCAACTCTCAGCTGTGATACATCTGTATAATTAAAACATATTTCTGTATTTACACTACAGTTTAGTGTATAACAAACAACCCATGTCACTACCAAATTAATAATATGACAGCACATTGATGAAGAAAAGGACCTCAGGGTTAACAACACTGCAGACCAGGCATGACAGAGTGGATCTCATTGAAACTTGAAAATACTGAACAATTTGGAGGGTGATGATCTAAACAATTCCTTCAAAAGGTCAGATGTAACACAAACAAGGAGCAATGATTTTAAGCTCAAGAAGCCACAATGCAGGAGATGCTTTTTCATCCAGTGTTATAAACTCGTGTAACTGCCTACCAGCCAAAGCTGTAAATACCACAAACTGTAAAATTTTAATATCTAGCTTGAAAAAATCGTTGAGCAAATTGGCGGAGGACCTCGACAAGCCGGCTTCGCGAGCGATTTTAGCCTGGGTTTGTATCCAGGCTGGGGAGGATTGACCAGGTGTCAATCCTTAACTGTACAAATCTGTTCACCCAGCAGTGAATGGGTACCTGGTTTGGCAGGTCGTATTCAAGGGAAAATTAAGATTAAGGACCTGCCCAAAACACTGTTAGGGGCTATACAAGAATTTAAGGACACTTGTATATCTAAATAAAAAATATAAGACTAATGTTACGACACGGCATGTCCACTAAACAAAAAAATTGCCATGCTATATACTATAAAAGGTATTTAAAAAGACAATTTTTTTGTTTCCTAATATTTTCTAAATGATAATTTGTAATTTGCTTCATTAAACTGTGTTTAATGTGGCCCCTGATAATTTTGTATTTTGTTTTATTAAAAAGCTTGGGTAAACATAGCAGTGTGGTGCTGCCCTATTATGTACGAAAGATTACAGCGTGCAGATAAAAAACTAAGTTCATCTAATATCCCCATCTCACAGGGCCAAGATTCAGCAAGCATCTATTTACTGACCCCAGCCTAATTCTGGCAATTTACAATGTTGCACTGTCTAGTGGATGTTTTGTGCTGCCCATACATATAGTTCTTGGTTCTAAACATATGACATTTTATACTCTTGCCGTATTGGCATCCTTAGTGATGTTTAGCGCCTGTTGAATATCCTGAACCTTTGATGGTGCTACATAGTCTCCCCGAATTGCTTCCTCCTTTTGATAATTACGTTATACAGTCCTTGTGCTTTTTGGCCTTTAAATGTAAATGACTAGTCTTCTGCTATCTATAATTTCCTGAAATACTGTGGGGTTTTACAACAGAGATTGGAATGCCCAGATCTAACTCAATTTCAAGCTTATCACATGCATTTTTAGCTGCATTATCTGTGTCATCATGCTGGACAGCACCTATGTGAGATGGTATCCATACAAATGAGACAAATGAACATACAAATGGTCATTCGATGGGAAGCTGGTTTCATGGGTTTATAACCTTATGAGTGGAAAAGCATCTTTTTTTTTTTTTTTTTTTTTTTTTTTTTTTTCCCGTCCAACATTGAGGCTTATTGAGCTTGAAACCGTTGCTCTTTGTTTGTGTTACATCTGACCTTTTGAAGTTGTCTATCAATATCCTCCAAATTGTCCAGTATTTCAAAAGTTTTAATGAGATCAGCCCTGTCATGCCTGGTTTGAAGTGTTGCTAGCCCTGTAGCCCTCAATTGTTCCTGATATGAGAGTCGGCTTAGTTTTGGAATGAGTTTTGCTGCCCGGTGTTGAACTTCCTCCAAGGCCGGTGTGTCTTTTTGAAAAGAGGTCTCCATGCTTAGATACAATAATCCAAGTGGTGACGCACCAAAGATTTATACAGTTTGATAACTACCTTCTTTCCTTAAAGTCAAAGGTTCGCCTAACTGTTCCCAGGGTTTGGGTGTACAGTATTTTTTTTTTATTTTTTTTTTTAGTGCTCCCACTTCTGCAACTTTCGGTTAATGGTGGATTCTGACTAGGTTTTTTTTCTTTTCTTCATCAATCTGCTGCAAGGTAATGTTGTTAATTTGTACTTGGGCGTGAGTTGTTATGCCCTACATGCAAGGTCTTGCATTTTTCGATATTAAAAATTATTTGCCATTCTTCTGGCTATTTGTGTAGTTCATGTAGATCTCTTTGTAAGGCCTCAATATCCTACCACTTGACTATAAATATTAGTATCTGTAAATTTGATGATGTGGTTTGTAATATTCTCATCTGTGTCATTGATGTATGTGACAAGAAGGGTTGGTCCCAAAAAGGACCCTTGCATTTGCTACCTTCACTCGCCACATTTCTCCAATCTGATTCATTTCTGTTTAGGACTGCCCTTTGCTTTCTTTGTTTTAACCATTGCTTTATCCATTCTAGTATTTTACCATTTATTCCATGTGATTGTAATTTCTTTGCCAGTCTTTTATTTGGTAGCTTATCAAAAGCTTTATAGCGAAGTCCATGTATACTACATCTACTGGAAATATTTTGTCTGAATAGCTGGTTACCATTTTAAAAAATGTGAGCAGATTTGTAAGGTAGGATATAATTTTAACAAACCCATGTTGCGAAGATTTTCCTAGATTTTTCACGGTGAGATGGTGAATGGTTTTCTCCGTGTACTTGCAGATATGTGAAGTCAAGCTGATCGGATGTTAGTTTTCTGCTGAGCTCCTACCTTTTATGCTGGTGTCGTTTGCAGCATATTTCCAATCTACTATCCTTTGGTCTGGAGATTTTCGGAAAATTAGTTTCAATTGTAGCCAGTTATTTTTGCAAGTTCCTTTATGACTTTGGACTAAATACCCTCCACTCCTTAGGCTTTTGAGCCTTGTATTTTGACAATGCTCTTCCTGATTATGACAATCGTTTGTTTCACCTTCAAACATTTATGTGGGTATTGAGATGGTGTCTAATCTCTAGTGCGAGAAGTGATGCAAAGTATTCATTCACATGGTTGACTGCTCTTTCCTCATCCATTCTGACTTGGTTAGTCTCGTCTTATATGGGTCCTGTCGACTCCTTTGTTTTGGTTTTACTTTCTTATATAGGCTTATAACGACTTTGGATCTTAATTTATGTTTTGAGCACGTTTTCTTTCCTAGTTTCTTTTGGCTGATCTGATTTCCTGGGTGGTTGAATTTAACGTCCTTCTATATATATCCTAATCTATGTTTTTTTCATAGCATCTAATTTTAACAAACCCATATTGCGTTGATTTTACCTGCATTTTGATACCTTTTCCTTCTCCAGAGGTTCCGTTTAGTTATTCGAGTGTTTTTTTTTACCACCTTACCTAGGGAGCCGGTTGGCCGAGCGGACAGCACGCTGGACTTGTGATCCTGTGGTCCTGGGTTCGATCCCAGGTGCCGGCGAGAAACAATGGGCAGAGTTTCTTTCACCCTATGCCCCTGTTACCTAGCAGTAAAATAGGTACCTGGGTGTTAGTCAGCTGTCACGGGCTGCTTCCTAGGGGTGGAGGCCTGGTCGAGGACTGGGCCGTGGGGACACTAAAAAGCCCCGAAATCATCTCAAGATAACCTCTCAAGATTACCTTTGTCATTCATCTATAGATCCCTTTCTTTTCGTTCTCCTCCTTGGCACATATTTTTGAACAAGTTCAGTGATGATATTTTATACATTTTTCCATGACGCTTCCATACCTCGATCACCTATTAGCTCCCTCCAGGTGTTTCGCTATGCCTCTCTCATTCCTTAATAGTCTTCTCGACGGTAATCTAGAAAGTCATCATCCTAGACCTTTACATGGGTTTCTATAATTGAAATCCATCTTAGAATATTGTGATCATACGAAGGGTTGAGCTTTTCCCCCTACCTGTATTTGATCGAGCATAGAGTCTGCCACATGCTGTGTGAGACAGGAGTCCTGTACCAGATCAAGAAAGTGTTCTTTCTGGTTGTGATGTTAGATTTGTTCGCCAAACACTCCACTACTCCACGCCCAGGTCTGCCAACGGTTTTGGCTACTCCGTGGTCTTTCCTGACCAAACCCTTGTGTGTGCCTCCTACCCCCGGAGACTGGCATCTTCACGGCTGACCTGGATGCAATTCTGTATGCTCTTCGTCAACTGCTTTCCCGACGTCAACGTTCCTTTGTTATTGTTGTTGGCACACTCATGAATCGTGTTCGCATGAATCTGGGGTCATCTAACTTTATACATCCTGTGGTAGTCAAAACCCAGTAATTCCTATTTCTTATCTAGCAGATTTAAGATAATGAGAGTTATTTTAAAAGACCGTGTGTGGGCGCTGCTGCTATGGAGGTTACCGCATTTGTCCTATTTCCCCCAAAACTCCTTATTCTAAGTTCTACCCAGTCATTGATTCCTCAATCCGCGATCGTTGAGCTAGTGTTACAGATTACAATCTCTTAAATGTGGTAGTATGTCCTCCTATTTAATCACTTGGGATATAGAAAGGTTATTCATATATATATATATATGTATAATATATAGTTCCAGGCTCATTGACGTCACCAGAGACCCAGGGGCTGCCAGTTTTTTGTTTCAGTGCCTCAGTGTGGCGATGCAGAGGGGATACCCCTGCTGTGTCCTCGGTTCCTGTCTGGAAGCGGAGGAGCTTCAGAAGATCCATAACCTTTAAGCACTCATTGTATCAACCAATGTACATCATGTAACCTTTATATATCTAATAAAGCACCAGTGTACATATTGTAACCTTTAAATATCTAATAAAGCACAACAAAACGCAAAAGGAAGAGGGTGGTAGGTGAAAAGCACACACAAACTGTATTGGAGGGGACCTAAACATTCCCTCTAATACGTTGTGTGGTTTCCTTCAAGGCTAAGGGACCGCTTCTAGCCAGTGGTGGTACTCCCTTCCTATATATAATATATATATATATATATATATATATATATATATATATATATATATATATATATATATATATATATATATATATATATATATATATATATATATATATATATATATATATATATATATATATATGTCGTACCTAGTAGCCAGAACGCACTTTTCAGCCTACTATGCAAGGCCTGATTTGCCTAGTAAGCCAAGTTTTCATGAATTAATTGTTTTTCGACTACCTAACCTAACCTAACCTAACTTTTTCGGCTACCTAACCTAACCTAACCTATAAAGATAGGTTAGGTAGGGATGGTTAGGTTTGGTCATATAACTACGTTAATTTTAACTCCAATAAAAAAATTGACCTCATACATCATGAAATTGGTAGCTTTATCATTTCATAAGAAAAAATTAGAGAAAATATATTAATTCAGGAAAACTTGGCTTATTAGGCAAATCGGGCCTTGCATAAACTTGACATATATATATATATATATATATACACACACACACACACACACAAACTTGCCCAAATCACAAGTCAAATGTAAACACACTTAAGGACTCATCCCCCTGCAAGAGACGAACCCAGAAGGCACAGATGTTCGCGCTCCTGTACACAACTAGTGTACATATTGGCCATACACACGTAACTTAAAAGTGTCTTAATACATCCTTAAAAGGCAATTAATGGGACGCCACCCTGCTCCTTTGTCCTCCTGGTCTTTGTCCACCTACATTGTTCTCCTGGTCTGTGCATTTTTAATAATGGCTTATACTTCCCGGGGGGGAGGCTACCGCCAAACCCACATCGTGTACCCCCAGTTCTCAAGTTACTCCACTTTCTTGTATACTCGCAATCTCCCCAGTCTTAACTACCTGACGCCTTCGTACTTCCTCATTTCATACGGCTAATTTGTGCCTGATTTCTATGTTAATCGAGTAATATTCTCACATGACCTCAGAAAGTGTTCACATCACAAAGTACACTTATGTATACTCCCTCTAATGGGTACATAATTTGTAAACTATAAAAAGTTGGAAAAATTATGTCTACCACTTACGAACATTTCCAAATCTTAGTTTATTTATGTTTTAATTAAAAATTATTAGCTTGTTTTTCGTACGATAATTTACTTAAGGGCCCCTAACAGGCTAGTAGCCCTGACGAGGACAGGAAGCCGGCGGCTTGTCAAAGGTTCCTCCATTTGCCCTGATGATCTTTTCCAGTTGGACTTTAAAAACAGCAGTTATCTTGAGATGATTTCGAGGCTTTTTAGTGTCCCCGCGGCCCGGTCCTCGACCAGGCCTCCACCCCCAGGAAGCAGCCCGTGACAGCTGACTAACACCCAGGTACCTATTTTACTGCTAGGTAACAGGGGCATAGGGTGAAAAAAAAACTCTGCCCATTGTTTCTCGCCGGCGCCCGGGATCGAACCCGGGACCACAGGATCACAAGCCCAGTGTGCTGTCCGCTAGGCCGACCGGCGCACAGTTACGGCTTCGGCGGGTAGGCTGTTCCATGGGTTTATAACCCTGACTTTAATAAGCATGTTTGGCTTATCGAGGTCCCCCCATCACCAATTGCTAAACTCCTATGCACATGTACAGTATTTATTTACTGTTGGGCGAACTGATCAGGTGCATGCGTGTGGGCTAGGTAACGTATTAATAATAAGTGTAAAAACACTTATTTTTGATTAACAAGCTTAGGTATACACAACAAATGTGCTGTTACCCTATGCTATATGAAAGATTACACAGTGTAGATCAAAAACTAGCTATAAGTTCATATAATATTCCTATCTCACAAGGTGGTTAGTATAAACGTATATGTATATTAAGTAATCGGTGATTACCTGAACTAGAAGCTAGTTTTTTGTATTATACACACTGTAATCCCTCATACAGAATTGGGTAGAAGCACATTACTGTGTGCTGTGCTGGCTAATACAAAAAAAAGGAAATCAACGAATTTTATTTCTAAGATCTTTCTAGAAATCTACGCCTGTTTATGTGAAAATCGCAAGTATAACACAATATTATATATTAATCATAACATCTACATAAGAAAAAAAGATTATAAAAAATAATGTATATATAGTTTTCGTTAATGTATTGAAAATTGTTGATATAAAATAATCCCTTTAAAAGCGATGATAGTGGCAATAAACGGAACGCGGAGAATATACTCGAACGTCGGCAACTAAACCAGAGTTGCCAAAAACACGCCATAACCACCTCAGCCAGTGTGCCTGTAGCAGCCACTGAGGGTGGACTTGCGCCTTTGTCTGTGTTACACACGTGATCTATCGGGGAAAAAAAGCATTAAAAATGGAAGGTTTCAAGCACATTCCCGTGAAACTCGGAGACTTCAGCGTCATTGATCAGGAATTCAACTCTATTCGCGAAAGATTCGATTCTGAAATGAAGAAAATGGAAGATGAGATGGCTCGCTTCCGAAATGAACTGATGAATCGAGAATCGTCTCTCTTCCAGCGCTCCATGCTCACATCTTCCAGGTATTGTCTTCATTAACTGCTGCCTAATATTTAGTTTTATTGATAGTTGCTACTAATAATTATACTAGAACAGATTGAGCTTTGTGTTGCGTGATGACACTGCTTGGAAATGCTTTAAATTAGTAACTCTAATTAAACTTAAAATGTGCTGCAAGATCCATGCACTGACCTAGTTCTGTAATGTTCATATTTCGCGTTGTTCCACTATGAACACCGGCTGGAATGTAGCGCCAAATGAATCTTGGTTAGTTCATGCAGTTTTAATCCATACTAACTGAACTTACGTTACCAGCGTTAATTATAAACTGATCGTCAAAAAAAAATTTAAAGATCCACCGGATTGACAGCCGTGTATGTCAGAAACCAACATTAAATTACGCAAGTCGGTACAGTATTTGATTTATGGTTGTGGTTGGGTCGATTTATGGGTTGTGGGTTGATTTATGGTTGAGGGCGGGTCCGTCTAGTCGGGACTCTGGCAGTCGGTCCTAAGGGGGCCAAGCTTATTATTAAGCAGCTGTTTGTGTGTCCTCAAAGACACATTCATCAATGTTTATGTATTGTGAATAAAAATGTTTATGTACATTAATTAATTTTATATGTTGAAGTTGTGTGTGTAGTTAGGTGTCTAGGGTCTGTTGGTAATTACTTGTATTTGTAGTATGTGGGTTAAGCATTTACAGGTGTGATTCGAACTGAAGTAGTCAATGAGGCACTCTTTGATAAATTTTCAAATGTAATCAATAGAGCCGTGTGTGAACAGCTTTTCATTCATAAACATGGGATTTGCCGGCTGGATTAACGAGCATTTGGCCTTTTGTTGATGAGGATGGGCTGGAATAATGTGAAGCTAAGATTAAAAAAGTCTCTTTCAAATCCTGTAGTGTAAACACTCCCAAAATCAACGTAACCAAAATACACACTTAACCTAACCTTAATAGCTACTTTTGTTCTTGTTTTTTGAGGGTCCGGTTAGTCGACCCGTCCTCGGTCTACTTCATCCAACGGTCGACCCCAAGACGAATTCATCAATTTTTAACATGCTGTTTATTCAAAACGGGAATTATCTTTTATATAAATTATATATTAGCGTATTATGCATATTTAGGCATTGGTTAGGTATTTAGTTTCCAGTGGCGATTATTTGTATTAGTGCATGGGTGAAGCATTGTTGTGGTTCGAACAAAAGTCGTCAGCGAAGCACTTGTTCTGGAAGTGTTCGGGGGCCTGACGACTGAGTGGAGAGCGCTTGGGATTCGTAGTCCTAAGGTTCCGGGTTCGATCCCCGGCGGAAGCAGAAACAAATGGACAGCTTTTCACCCTGACGCATCTGTTCACCTAGCAGTAAATAGGTTCCTGGGAATTAGACAGCTGTTACGGGCAGCTTCCTGGGGCTGTGTAACAAAAAAGCCTGGTCGAGGACCGGGCTATGGGGACGCAAAGCCATGAAATCTCAAGATACGTCATCAGTTGTCTTGTGTAAATCGTTTTTCATTCATAAACATCGGGTTTGGCGGGTGCATGGAATGGAGTTTGCCCTTTAATGAGGACGGGCTGTTTAAAGGACGGGCTGCTCCACCACCCTGAGACCTGGCCACCAGCCAGCAACACGTGTCTCGAAGCAACCCGTCCTCAATGACAAAAGTCAAATGCTCATTAATCCACCAACCAAACTACGTTTATGAATGAACACTACACAAGACTTGCAACTGATAACGAGCAGTTTCCTTGAGCAGTGTTTACGTCCATCTTATTATTGGAATTACACCTCTAAATTCTTCACACATGTGCAACAAATGCCAATAATTACAAAAAAAAAAAACACCTTACTTAGGCCTAACTATTCAACATTGTAATATTACTTTATACTTCAGAAAATATTAATTCTTAATACGCAGTACGTTAAAATTTGAGTTCGGGTGATAAAATAAAATCTTTGGGATCGGCCACCGCATGGACGAGCCTAGCCTGAGGACAAGTTATTCGAAACCAGAGGGAAGGGGGGGGGGGGATGAGAGAGATGCAGACCTGGGCAGTTTTTTGTATTATTATTTTCTACCACAAACGTGGCCACACATGCCAGGTCACGCCAGGTCAGTCCGTTCTCGCGAGCATTCCCAACGTCAAGAAACCGTCGTACTAAAGTGTCCTATCCTAACTAACCACATTACCCACGAACAGAAAACGGGACAGTATATAAATTTCGCAAGCTGCTAGCATTTTCTAGTAAGACAGTTTTTGGTCTTGTGTAAAATATTCGTCAAAATACGACGTGCTATAAAGAGGACATGTTGGTCAGGAACCCCTTGGAACCGAGGATACAGCCAGATTGTCTTCCTCTGGATCGCCACTTTGAGGTGCTGAAACTCGTCTCCTTGGGTGTTTGGTAGTATCTTAAGAATTCGCCATTGAATGTTAACAATAGTATAGTGGTTGAATAATAGTGGGTGTGCGTTATGATGCTGAGAAACACGGGACGATAAAATAAGGTGACTAACACACATTGGTTTCTCCAGGTGAGTAAACAATAACTAGGAATAGGTTGACCCTTCTATTTTAATCATTAATACAAAAACCAAGTAATTGTTAAACCTAGTTTACTAAAACAATTTAAAGTAGCATGCATTAAATAAAACAAATTATCAAGAAAGCCCAGCTTGAGAACAAGTGGCTGTTGATGTACTGCTAAATTTAAAAAGGTTTAGCTATCTTGCGATGCTTTCAGCCCATTGGCAGTGGCTTCGTACTGTGTTTTTATCATAGATATGAGTGACATGTATACTGCACACCAGAAACGTGTAGTGGCTCAGGAGGAACAGTTTAGCGAGGTGCTAAACAGAGGCGGGTGAGAGGGTCCCTGATAAACTTTAACCGTAAAGTACGGTAAAATCAGTTCCGGATTTGCAGGGATTGCTTGCCAAATAGTTTTCAATGTCTAATATATTTATGTAGACTTTTTTTCTGTATTTTCCTGTTTATTTCTGTAGAACATGACTTATTGAATGTGAGTGAAGAAGCCACGCAACAATCCTGAGCGGTGAGTCACGGTATCAGATCTTCCTTCTCCCCGCCACAGGACCACCCCTCCCCCCTCCCTCCTCCCCGCATCCTTTTCTCCTAGCCTCACCTTGTCAAGAAATCCCGTCCCTCTGCCACCCGACAGTTACACATTTTATATTATTATATATAATATATTTATATTGCTATAATATATAGCAAAGTCTTTCACCCCTGATGCCACTGTTACCTAGCAGTAAGTGGGTACCTGGGAGTTACAGCCTCTACGGAGCTGCTTCCTGCGGTGCGTGTGTATGATGTGTGTGTAAAAAGTTAGTCGATTGACAGTTGAGAGGCGGGCGAAAGAGCAGAGCTCCCCCACAAGTACAAATAGGCGAATACACACGCACACGCACGCGCGGGCGGGCGTTCTTACATTCTTGTACAGCCACCAGTACGCATAGCGTTTCGGGCAAGCCCTTAATCCTAATTCATAAAGTAAAGGATATTATTTTCAGTATTTGATTCAACGTCTGCGTATTCGTGTCAATTTAATTGTTGTACGTCTTAATACAAATATAATCACATGGTTTGTTGGCAACTGCATCGGTCAAATTGTTGTTAGTGTCCTGTCTGGCGTAATATTGGTTAACACTTTGGCGTTACTGGAGTAGGAGTATTTTTAATATTCATTTATGCACCCCATATAATTTGTTATTGTTGCCGCCGGAGGCGGCCAGTTTATTGTGCACCCCATACTCATACTGTGAGCGGTAACGCAAGAAGGATTACATTATAGCCATCCCATGGGCGGTGGTGGCAAGGATTAGAGGCCCATAATGGGTTTAAGAACTGAATCCCATGGTTGATTTAGCTAAGCAAGTGACAATCTTATGAAGCTAGTTACACAGTTGCTAATCTTATTCACATACATATACATGTGTGTATATCACGAAAATAAACTCGTGACTAAAAATGTGTCAGACCACGGAGGAAAATTGAAACGGGAATTTCCTTAAATTTCCTTAATTTCATTAAGGAAATTCCTGTTTAAATTTTCCTCCGTGGTCTGACTGCCACATATACATGTGTGTACATGCACTGCATACAGTGTATATATGGACACAAATACCTGTACATATACAGTACATATCGATAGTCTTTTTCAATCACAAGTGATTCAAGAAGAGGCCCACAAGTGTCTATACAAGGCAGTTTATATCTATGGTGAGTCACACACTTACTAATCTTGCTCCACACCCACCCAACTGGGCGGCAACTTTACAGCCATGTGCATGCATTACCAAATTTAGGATTTGGTAAGTAAGCAAATTTAGGATACTTTGCCAAGATTCGGGGCAGTACTGAACATTATGAATGAAGTACTTGCATATGTCTTGGACACCATTGATGGTGTGTTCTGAATTCCGCGATTTTTTCACACTCCATGTAATGACGTAAATTATGCTAATAGTTTTAAGTTGACATTTAGTCAAATCTCTATCAGCAGATGATACAAACTCCAGAGGTACTTGTAGACTAGCTTAAGCCTAGCAGTGGTAACATCAGTCTGCTAACCTTATTGGATAAACCATGGACGTGCGATTCGATGCACAGGTAGTTCACATTCCTATATTTATGATGCGCACAATATAAACCTTACCCGTGAGTGGTTTTGGGAAGTTAGAAAAACACAGTAGGCTCAGACACTGAGCCCCAAACATTCAACTAAGCTAGTACATAATATATTCATAATCCTAAGCGTCCATTTCCTCTATTAATGGAAACCACAAGTTGATAGTGATATTAGGGGGCATTAATAAGCTATTCCAATATGTTATTTTAAATTACCAACGCAATCAAGCACGAGTATTAAATCCTAAAAATATAATCTTGGGGGGCGGGTACCCTCAGGAAAATAATTTTGTCATAATTACAAATTACAACTGTTACAAATGTGAAACTGTGAAATTAGATAGACCCATGTACACTTATACTAATAT